CGCGCCGCGCAACCCCAACAGCACGCTGGTGGACGAGCTCGAGGCCTCCTTCGAGGTGCGCGCGGGCGGCGGGCGGGGAGACCCCGGGGGTCGGGGCCGGGTCGGGCTGCGCTGAGCCGCCGCGTTTGCCGCCCGCAGGCCTGCTTCGCCTCGCTCGTCAGTCAGGACTATGTCAACGGCACCGACCAGGAGGAGATCCGCACCGGTGAGCGCCCGCTGCGCTGGGCCAGGCCACGCCCCCTGCCCCGCATTGGGGTCAGGCCACACCCCTTTGCCCATGGGTGGTCGTTGGGTCCAGACCACGCCCCCTTCCGGGCCAGGCCACAATCCTTTGAGGTGGGGTTGGGTCCAGGCCACCTCCCCTCCTACCTGGCCGAGGTGGTTTGGCCCCTAGAAGCCCAGCCTGGCTTCCCAGCAGGGAGCCTTGGAGCAGGGGGAAGCAGGCGGGAGGGCTTCATGGCACTGGGTGGCTTCCCCGCTTTAGGAATCGCTCTATTGCGTGCAGGGCTGTGGTGGGGGAGAACTGTGTATAGCAGGCGCTTGGCCCACGGGACAGGTCCAGCCCACAGCACCATGTCTGTTATCTGGCCTGTGGACCAGAAATTTAGCAGCAGGAGTGATGGCATCACTCCCTGCTGCCAGATTTCCAGACTCATTAAAGACCATCCTCAAATTGCGGGATTGCCAGCGACAACCACAGGAAATATGATGTTATGGGGAAAAAACCCTGGTGTATTCTGTCTTGCTCATGCACTCCTCTAAGGGCAGCAGCTGCTAACATCTAATTCTAGAGTCTTGTTTATTATAATGGAAAAGGAGCCAGGGAGCAGTTTTTTTAAAAGTGATTTAGGAATATAAGTATTGTTGAAAATGAAGGACTTCAGGGCAAGTGCTTGCTGGCTTTAGAGCTGAAGTTTTCTTTTCAAAAGTGATGTTCTCTCTTGAAAACTTTACCTTCTAGCTTTAGTTTCAAATATTAAGTTATCCAGCAATGAAGAAAATTGGTTTGTATTTCACTCATGTTCTGAAGTTCATTTAATTTCATAAGCATATCATTCTGGATATAGAATCTAAAAGATTCTGTATGTTAATTTTGCAAGTTAGAAATTTACCCAAGTTTTTCACATATTTGCAGTCTGGACCCACAGTGGAGGTTAGGGTATGTTGGGTTTTTATGGCCCATTGTCATCAGAAAAACGAAGACAAAACCTTTGCAGTGAAACTGGAAACAAACACATTCCCTTCCATATTCTATAAAGTCGGTTTGAAAGCAGCTATTCCATAAGTTCTAAGTAATGTGTTGAGAGCAGTCTATAGATGTGTTTTATTTTATTATTTACTTTTCATTATTTAACCCTGGGGTTGTCAACTGGGGGTGTGTGTACCCCTGAGAGTACTTGGACAGGTACTAGTGGGGTACTTGTGGGCAGGCAGGGGCAGAGTGCCGCCGCCTCCCAGGAGCAGGACCAGGGTGGAGCAAGGGCAGGGAAGCTTGCATGGGGCAGCTGCCACTGCCACACACCAGCCCAGTGAACTTCCCTGCCCTGGCCCGGCTCCTGGGAGGTGGCTGCGCGCTGTCCCCACCTGCAGTCCTCACTTCCCTGCTCCGTGGCCAGCTGTGCGCCACCTGCCTCCACCCCCCACCCCCAGTTTGGCATCCAGCTGCTGAGGGTACTTAGACTAAAAAAGATTGAAAACCCCTGATTTAACACCTTCAAATTGCATCTGTTCATGCTACTAAAAGTTTATGGACTATTTTTGGAAAATGGGATTGAGCCAAATACATTTTCAAATGTGGGAACCTAGGCCACTTTTACACTTTCTTTTGTCTACTAACTGATTTTCTTCTCTTGTTATAATTAATCTGTTCAGTTTCTCTCCTTCGGATTATTTTGTTTCTGTATTTTAGGCGTTGATCAATGTATCCAGAAATTTCTGGATGTTGCAAGACAAACTGAATGCTTTTTTCTACAAAAAAGACTGCAGCTCTCAGTTCAGAAACCAGAGCAAGTTATTAAGGAGGTAGGAAGTTACTGTCTTGATCTGTTTATCTCAGCTGTGGCAACTTAACAAAAGCATGTTTTGTTTTGTGGTAGTACAGAAGAAACTGGTACTAATAGAATCTTTAATCTCCCCATCCACAGCCAGAGTAGATTTTTATAATTTGTCCCCAAGGCCAATTTAGAAATACAACATTTTCTTGCCACTATATAAAAAGGTCCATAAAAAGTGTAGCATTACAAGTATGTACCACCGAACAGGATTCTCTCCAAAGAGCCTAGAATCTAAAGATGTTTACTCAGTTTAAGAGTTTTTTCTCCATTCGATGGGGGAGGAGGGGGGCAAGCTCCTTGTCTCAGATTTGAGTACAAGCCAGAGGGAAGGAAGCTGCAGTTCCAAGGCCAGGGTTGGAGTTAGAGCCACAGCTGCTGCCATGCCCCTTCCCTTCCCCTCCCTCTCCCCGCAGTTTTTGATCCCTGCAGCAGGGGGGGCCTATGTGTGGGTGGGGATGTGGCACAGGGTGGCAAGTTGGGTGGGCAGGTTCTTCTGGGTGCAGGCACAGTAGGGAGGGTCAAATATCAGGGGGGCAGGGGTGTAGGGAGGGGGCCTGGGGGCAGGTGGGAGGAGTGCAGGCATGGGGCATGTAGACACTGGAGGGGGGTGGGGTGTGGAGCAGGTAGCTGAGAGGACATGTAGCAAGGGATAGGTGTCAGGCCACTTGATTCCCTTGCTGCCTACCCTCTTACTGATGATTGCACTGCTGTGATACTGGGGGGGGGGGCAGGAGAAGACGGCTGTGAATTTAAGACAACCCTCCAAAAATTAGATTCTAGACATAGAAAATTATAACAAATCATAACACATTTATAATTTTTTTCTGTGAAGGAACAGTTAAATCTGGATAATGCAAAGGGTTTTGTTTCCTTCTTTCTAATTTCTCAGGAATCATTTTATTGGTGAATGGGAAAGAAACTGATACTCTAGCAGCAGGCTGAATGGAAATAGCTAACATGCACTTTCCCATTTATTAAGCATTTGTGTTTAGTCTGGGAACTGTCCAAAACGTAAGGGTTTTATTAGGCATTCTACTATTAGGCATCTACAAATGTCCTTACAGCCCTCCTTCAGGCACCCAAGGTCTTACTGATGACCCTTGTATCTGTTGCTGGCTTTGTGGCCATCATGCTTCCAACATATGTATGTGGTGACACTCGCATTGTCGTCATCATCAGGCATTCCACTAGGGTTTTGTTTTAATATACAATTTGTGCAATGAAGACATTTGTAATTTACTAATATATTTTATCACCTGTAGGATGTATCAGAATTGAGGAATGAATTACAGAGGAAAGAAGCACTAATTCAGAAGCATTTGGGTAAACTGCGTCACTGGCAACAGGTTCTAGAAGACATCAGTGTGCAACACAAAAAGCCTGCAGAAATGCCTCAAGGACCATTAGCTTACCTGGAACAAGCTTCTGCTAATATTCCTGCACCCATGAAACAGACATGATTAAGGAAAATGTCAGTGTCTTTGAGCGGTATTTTAACTTAAAGCAAAGTGGTATTGATTTTTTTTTTTTTATTTGCTATATGCATAATGTATTTTATATTATAAATATAAATAGTATTTGTTCTGTTGTGACAGTGGGACAGAGAACTAAGTGTAAAATAAATTTAATCTTTTCCACAAACCATGGACTGGGTCCTACATTCAAACTGAACAGAAGCTCCTTAAATGTCTTATCTATGTGATATTGTGGCTTGGTCCCTATTACTGCTTTCTTAGCTGATGATTCCTGCAGCCACTGATTTGCTGCTGATGCACGTGCCATCTGGCTGCTGAGTCCTGTCCTGTCCTATTTGTGAAGGAGGGAGGGGGCAGGTGCTGCCCAGGAGGAAGGGGGCGTGGGATGGAGGCACAGCTTGTCAGGGGTGGGGGCAGCTCTTGCTGCTGCTTGCACCCTGGGAGAGCACTGGGGGGGTGCCCCCTGGATCTGCATGGGGTGGATGGGGCGGGGGCTAGAGCCAGCACTGGGTGGGACTCTTCTCAGCGGGGACTGGGCTGGGAGGGGGCTGCAGCCACCCCAGATTTCTCTGCAGCTCCACTCCCAGCACTGCTGCCAGCTGCCCAGTGAAGTCTTGGGTCTTCCCAGCATGTGGGTGGAGGTGGGACATGGAGCCAGGCTGTGCTTGGTGACGCAGAGCTGGGAGCGGAACTGCAGCAAAATTTGGGGTGACTGCAGCCCTCTCCCAGCATTGCTGGCTCCCACTCCGAGCTCATCCCACGCTGAGAAGAACCCCGCACAGTGCTGGCTCCAGCCCCCCTGCCCTCCCCCAGATCTGGGGGGCATACCCCCCCTACCCTACTGGGGTGCAAGCAGTGGCAGGAACTGCCTCCCCCCACTAGCCTCCCCTCCATCCCATGCCCCTGCCCTCCTGGGCAGCACCTGCCCCTGCCTCCTTCCTCCCTCACTGTGGAGGCCTTGATCTGCGCCCCTCCCCATACCCCTTCTCTCCCCCCTCCGCTTCGGACTTACCAGCTGGAGGCAGCTCTCCACACTGCTGGCTCTGCTCTGTGCTGTGGTGTGCAGCATGGGCATTTACCGGCCAAATTATTGGCCCCATCTGGCTGATATCCAATACAGCAATTTTTTTTATATCAGTACTGATCCGATATTGGACCAATATATCAGTGCACCTCTATTTTTGAGACATTTAAATTTTTCTCTTAGTGTAGACATGGCCAAAGAAGACCAGATAGACCAGTTGACCCATCTGGTTAACGACCTAGCAATTGATGCTTTTCAACTCCGCAGTTGGAGTACTGCGTGCAATTCTGGGTGCCGCAATTCAAGAGGGATGCGGATAACCTGGAGAGGGTCCCTCGTACGGTTAAGGGCCTGCAGACCAAGCTCTACGAGGAGAGACTAGAGAAACTGGACCTTTTCAGCCTCCGCAAGAGAAGGTTGAGAGGCGCCCTTGTGGCTGCCTATAAGTTCATCACGGGGGCACAGAAGGTAATTGGTGAGTATTTATTCACCAAGGCGCCCCCGGGGGTTACAAGAAATAATGGCCACAAGCTAGCAGACAGCAGATTTAGATTGGACATTAGGAGGAACTTCTTCACAGTTCGAGTGGCCAGGGTCTGGAACGGGCTCCCAAGGGAGGTGGTGCTCTCCCCTACCCTGGGGGTCTTCAAGAGGAGGTTAGATAAGCATCTAGCTGGGGTCATCTAGACCCAGCGCTCTTTCCTGCCTATGCAGGGGGTCGGACTCGATGATCTGTTGAGGTCCCTTCCGACCCTAACATCTATGAATCTGTGAAACTCTGGGAAGACCATCCTAATAGAAAAAGATGCAGCTATAGTTAGTGTTTCCTAACCTCTCTCTCCTCCAGAAGTGTAATGCCTGGCACTTTTTTTTTCTTTCTGTTGACTGCTTGTTTTCACAAAGGTCCAGTGCTTGTTTTTCTCCTGAAGCTATAATTAAAAGGAAGTGGGTGATGACCTGGGAGCTCCCCTTGTTACTTTCCTCATCAAAGTATCTTTAACTGGAATGACTTAACATTGATGTGCATTAACTTCAGGCTTGCTTGGGAAAGTGTATTTTGTGCCAGAAATTTAGCTAAAACTCCCTCCCAACTTTATAGTTGGACACAAAAAGATTTTACTGAATAAATAAATTCTGCTTCTTGCATAGTCCATGGAGCATCATAGCTACAATGCCACAATATACCAAAGTAGTAGCAGATAAATAATTTGCATAGGAAACCCATGACTGATGGTTACAATGGAGAATATCATTTTGCATATTGTGTAAAGGCAAAATTAAAATATTCATAATTATTCACTTACCTTTTCCATCATAGACCCTCCTCTAAGTAAGACATAGGCATGACAAAGTGTTTAGATTATTACTTGTATATAGAGATCTTTCTCAGTATTACTTCCTGTATGTCACTTTATTACCTTGATCATAGTTATACATATAGTAAATAGACTTTCTGTAATTTTCTTCGTAAATTAACAAACTATTCCAAAACGTATCTTAGAGTCCCTTTCAGAACTAAACTACTTGTCCCCAAAGATCAATGGGTTGACAGTGATGGACAATGCAAGACTTAGGTGCTGATCATCTCAGTAGTAGACTTTCAGCTCTAGAATTCTCTGATTCTTGAGATTATGAGCAGACAAAGCCATGACAACTTTAGGGATGGCGTACTTTAAGATACGTTTATTTATGTAAGATTTCCTTCAAAATCATCTTTCCTGATAATCAGTTAAAAACAATCATGCTTAAGGAAGCAGTGCGAGATCTTGAATTTGCTCCTTCCTGCTTAGATGAGCAGAAAGAAAATACACCAATGGAATGTGTGCATGCATAATGTTCACAGATTTGAAACTATGAATTGTACAGTGTTTTTCAAAGTTCTATACAATATAAATAGTATAAAAACAGGAACATTTGGTCTATAAGCAAGTTTCAATGATCAAAGTTGAATTTTATGCTGAGTCTACCAGAGTGATCTTTAAATATGTTTATTGAAAACTACATGAATAGTATCTGGTAACAGTCAGACTATACAAAAGCAATTTCTTGAATTGAATAATCTAAGGCCAGATTCTGTTCTAACTCTTGGGTGCATAAGTGCAATTCCAATCCTCCCTGCTCAAGTCCCTGAAAACCAAGTAATGTCCTCCTCACTGGTTTTGAGACTCATTTTTAAAGGTATGAGAGTGTTTTACAAAAGTAGATGCACTAGTGAATTTTCAGGTACTTGAACCAGGTTGAATAAAATCATACTTAGGCACTGAACTCCACTTAGACTTGTACTAGGTGTAACAGAATCTAGCCACTAGTCCTAAATTCCCTTTTACACATACACCATCCCAAGAGGTATACTACTGTACAATATAAAATTTAACAAAAACTACCAGATTAAACAAGCACCCTCTAAAAATAGCATTCAAATAAGCTGAGATGATTTAACAGCCCAAGAAAGGGAGAAAATGGGTAGAGGAGATAATAAATATGAAACCAAGTGTGACTATACTGAAAAATTCTGTAAAGTTATAAGGTGTTCTTTAAAAAGGAGCCAAACCGACAGGGCCATGAGGCACCAAAAAATTAATTCAGTACTCAAAAGTAGCTGCACAAGAGATACATTCTTACCTTGGTATGGAAGACTTTCTGTTTAACATGGGCACTGGGTTGACCATATACTTACCTATAATCTTTCATCCAACTCCCGTGTTTCAGGAGGTTATTTATTATCACGTGTATATCTGAGACCCATGTGTATAATCCCATAGTCAAAAACAGTAAATTCCTATGAAGGTCTGTGCAAATTACACATAGATATATATTTTTAGATCAGTTCACTGGGCAAACATTTCTCAAGAGTGAAATTGTCTGATCTCATAATTTGGAGTACTATGGAAATGGTTGTTTTTTAAAATGAGAAGTATTTAGTAAACCATTCCTGATGCCGAGGGTCTTGTTTCTTGTCATCTGTAAATTTTGATGCTTCGTTGTCTTGTTTCCTGTACAAAAAGACAAATGGCAGTATTCTTTGAATTCTTACCAATACTTAATCCACATTTCTTTTTCCACAAGAACTTGGCATGGCGTGGGAGGACTTGTTCTTACATGAGTCAGAAGAGGCAAGAAGATGCCAACTGCAACCCTCATATGATCAGTGAGAAGTAGTTAGCTGTGCTAATCTGAGTATTTAAGTCACTCCTATTTGGTAGCTGCCTCTTTGCATATCCTTTCAGCCAATGAAGTGAGCTCTTCCTCGTAAAGGTTTACACATCTCTGAATCAGTTAGTCTAAGGTGCACTTATACCCTGCCTTCTACAACCCTCAAAAGTCAAATAATGAACTAACAAGCATTATCAAGATGCAAAAGATGGGAGTTTGTAATAGTGGCTAGCAGCTCTGGAAAGAAAAAGTACTTGCTGACTCAGAATCTAAAAAAAAATCAAAACCCAAAAAATCAAACAACAAAATGTACCTTGTTTCAGGAACTGAATCCTTGGAAATCAAGATGAAATTTCTCTAATAAAAATACAATATACTCTGATGTATGAAGGGGTTTGGACACTTGCAGGTTTATTGAAATCTAAAACTGTCCTATCCGGATTGTGTGATGTATTTCACTGATTACATGCCTGGTTTTATGGTACCCAACCTCATCTCCTCAACACTTGTACTTCACATCAATGCACTTAAAATAATTACTTATTTATAACTGATGATAAACAAGTCACATTCCAGCTCTTTTCTAAGCCCTAATAACATTTTGTGCAAACTGCATCTGATTGACATTGACACAGGTCTCACATGACACAAAATGCTTTTGTAAGAACTTGTGAGCTGCCAAATTGGATCAGACCTTTGTTGCACCTAGTCCTGCTGCTGCTGAAAAGAAACTGCAAAAGACAGGTACAGGGTAACAACTTTTTCCTAATTACTGGGACTTACTAGGTGCCAAACTGACAGGGCCATGGTCTCATTTTGGTCCTTAAGCATGAAGGTTTCTATCCTTTCCAAAGTGTTCGTTTTTACACGTACCATATTTCACAGTGTGTAAGCCAGGTTTTGAAGCCCAATTTTGGCCCCTGAAAATCCAACCTCAACTTATACACTGTACTGCCTTCCCCTGCAAGTGGCGCTGGGCTTGGCACTTAGCTGGCATAGCCCAGGCAGTGCCGCTCACAGAGGATGGGCCATGCCAGCCGAGCACAGTCCAGCGCTGCTCACAAGGGATGGGGACAGGGCTGGGCTCAGGGCTTGGCTGGTGCAGCCCCATCCCCTGTGAGCAGTGCTGCCAGGGCGCACCAGCACCGCTCATAGGGTATAGGGCCACACCAACTGAGCCCACCCCGTCCACTGCAAGTGACATTACTGAGTGCTGAGCCCAGCCCTGTTGTCTGTACCACTCACAGCAGACAGGGCCAGGCTCGGCGCTCAATTGGTGCAGCCCCATACTCTGTAAGTGCATCCCCTCTGCAGGGGATAGGGCCGAGTCAGCTGAGTACCAAGCCCAGCTCCATTCCCATCCCCTGCATGTGGTGTGTCCCAAGCCAAGTGCTGAGTCCAGCACCACTCACAGGGGACAGGGACAGGGCCAAGCTCAGTGCTCAGCTGGGGATGTGCTGCCCGCAGGGGACGAGGCTAGGGATGGGTCGAGGCTGGGTGCTTGGCTGGTGTGGCCCTAACCCCTGCAAGCGGCGCCAGGCTGCCAGGGGATGGGGCTGCACCTGCCAAACGTTAAGCCTGGCCCTATCTGCTGTGAGCGGCACTGCCGAGCGGTGAGCCCAATGCCATTTGCAAGGGATGGGGCTGGGCTCGGCGCTCAGCAGCGCTGATCTCAGTGAACAGTGCCGGGCTTGCTGCTTGGCTGGTGCAGCCCAGGCAGTGCTGCTCACAGGCGATGGGGCTGTGCCAGCCAAGCACCAAGCCCAGCTCTGACTTATACACCGAGCCTATGAAAATCCTAATTTTCCTAACTTTTAAACCAAGGCTGACCTATACATCATGTTGATCTGTACACTGTGAAATGTAGTACTAATGTGTTTTCATTTGTTCTTGTTAGTGATGCAGGGAAGTGAGAGTTGGTGAAGTGGAGTTGCTTCCATATTTAATTCTATAAAAATAGGTCCCGGATGATTGGAAAAGGGCAAATTTAGTGTCCGTCTTTAAGAAAGGGAAAAAGGAGAATCCAGGGAACTACAGACCAGTCAGCCTCGCCGCAGACCCTGGAAAAAATCATGGAGCAGGTCCTCAAGGAATCCACTGTTAAGCACTTGTGGATTCATTGAGGGCAGATCATGCCTGACCAGCCTGATTGCCTTCTATCATGAGATGAATAGCTCTGTGGATGTGGGGAAAGCAGTGGATGTGATCTACCTTGACTTGAGCTAGGCTTTTGATACAGTCTCCCACAGCATTCTTGCAAGCAACTTCAGGAATTATGGGCTGGATGAATGGACTGTAAGGTGGATAGAAAACTGGCTGGATCATCAGAGGGTAATAGTCAATGGCTCAATGTTTAGTTGGCAGCCAGTATGAAGTGGAGTGCCCCAGGGTTTGGTCCTGGGGCCGGCTTTATACAATATCTTCATTAAGGAGCTGGAAGTTGGGATGGATTACATCCTCAGCAAGTTGGCAGATGACACCAAGCTGGGAAAGTAGACATATGCTGGAGGGTAGGGCTAGGATTCAGAGTGACCTAGACAAACTGGAAGATTGAGCCAAAAGAAATCTCATGAGGTTCAATAAGGACAAGTGCAAAGTCCTGCGCTTAGGACAGAACAACCCCATGCACTGCTAGAGGCATGGTACTAACTGGCTAAGCAGTAGCTCTGAAGAAAAAGACCTGCGGGTTACAGTGAACAATAAGCTGAATATAGGTTAAAAGAGTTACAAAAAAGGCTAAAGGCATACTGGGTTGCATTAGTATGGAGCATTGCCAGCATATTGAAGTGATTCTTCCCCTCTGTTTGACACTGGTGAGGCTACACCTTGAGTACTGTGTCCGGTTTTGGGCCCCCCCCACTACAGAAAGGATGTGGAAGGATTGGAAAGAGTTCAGCGGAGGACAATAAAAATGGTTCAGGGGCTGAAGCACATGACTTATGAGCAGGGATCTGGGTTTTCCGTTTCCCACGGAAAAACAGAGAAAATGCGGATTTCCCTTTTTAGCAGAGAAATCTACAGATTCTCCGCTTTTGCAGAAAGCTCTTGCAGGCTGGCAAAGAGCTCTGCTGGCACAGCAGAAAGGGCGGGAAACCCCCAGCCCTGCCCGGAGGAGGAGGGAGATGGGGGGAGGGCAGGGCCAGGCTCAGACTTGTCCTTTGCCCCTGGATCCTAGAGGTAAGTGGGGCTTGGGGGCTGTGGGGCAGGTCTGGGGAAGATGGTTGGGGGGTGAGGGAACGGGGTGCTGCCAGCCCCCCTCTGTGGGGCTTTACTGGTAAGCGATGTGGGACGCAGTGTGGTGGTGCCCGCCATGTGCGGGTAGCACACATGCTGCCTGGCCGCCTGCCCAGGGGAGGGAGAGGAAGGCTTGCATGCGACTCGAGCACTGCTCTGTGGCCGGTTCTGCAGCCGCGGCGAAGGATGGTGGCTAGGGGGAAGCGGGGGTTCGCACGCGGCGGCTGCTGCTGTTTATCTGGAGGGCCATGCCAGTGGTGCCAGTCGCTGCCTACAAAACCTCCCGCTGCCGCCGTGGAGCCGTGCCTGGAGCTGTGTGGCTGGCCGCCGGGCGGCAGTGGCAGCATGGTGGTGGCTGGGCAGCACGCAGCCACCCCTACCACCATCCCGTGCTGCGCTGCTGCCGCCGGCCACACAGCTCCGAGCACAGCTCTGCGGCAGGGGGCTGTGGGGGACCTTTCATTTTTATCACGGATTTTAGGTTTTTAATCAGAGAATTTGCAATTTTTAATCAGAGAAAACCAGGATCCCTGCTTATGAGGAGAGGCTGAGGGAACTAGACTCATTTAGTTTGGAGAAGAGAAGACTGAGGGGGGAGGTGATAGCAGCCTTTTAACTACCTGAAGACCGGTTCCAAAGAGGATGGAGCTGGACTGTTCTCAGTGGTGGCAGATCATAAAACAAGGAGCAATGGTCTCAAGTTACAGCAAGAGGAGTTTAGGCTCCATCTTAGGAAAAGCTTTCTCATTAGGACAGTGGTGAAGCACTGGAACAGGTTACCTAGAGGGGTGGTGGAATCGCCATCCTTGGACGTTTTCAAGACCCAGCTCAACAAAACCCTGGTTAGGATGACGTAGTTGGGGATGGTCATCCTTTGAGCAGGGGGTTAGATTAGATGACCTCCTGAGGTCCCTTTCAACCCTAATTTTCTATGATTCTATATAAATCTAATTAATCAATAAATATAGATGGTAATCTCTGGGCAGACCTAAATGTCTACTGCTTACACAGATATGATTGTGTTATTAGTTTAAGCATCATTTAGAAAACACATCTAAAAATGACATTAAATTTTAACTTTTCAGAAAAAAATGAGGGCTAGGCCAGACACTTTGAATGTTCACAAATAAAGTCCTAATACAGGGAATATCAGAGGAGAACTGAGCATCTGCCAGATCAGTATTTTGAGATCTCCATACTCATTTGCCAAATTACCCTCCTAGCCTCAGTCAGGTCTCTCCTAAAAATACACTTTTGCTAAATATGGAAAAATAAATAAAATGCACTTGTAACTATTGAGATAATTCCAAGTCTTGGGAGCACAGGCCTTGAAGGGACTGTCTGCCTCACTGAACCCAGACCTCACCTGTTGCTGGCAGCCATATAAGAAAAGGTGAGTCTTAATAAATAACAACATGATTTTATTTACATTCATGCAGTCTTTTATGACCATTGCTTGTGCCCTGTTGAACTGCAGTCATAAGCCCTTTCAGGCAGAGACAATGGCTGATATCCTGCAATGAGCTCAAGTTATGGGCAGGTGTTTGGAAATACGGACTTTACTGCAGAATCAGAGCCAATGTTTTTGGCTTTTGCACATTTTTCAGTGCCTGAAAGAATCTGAATACCCTTCAAGCCACTAAAATATGTAAGTTTATTGTTTACCTTGTGGCCGTGCTAGAGTCCGAGGATTGTGTTGACTGATAGCAGGCCCTGATGCAGCTGGGACTCTGGTCTAGGCTTGTAGATTTTGTTATTTGAGGAGAACTCCTCTTTGATCTCAAGTCACAACTCAGAAAGCTCTTTGCGTAGGAGGCTAAATTTGGCACACTGACAACACGGCTGGGCACATCATCCAGTTTCTTCTTCTGTTTTTATTATGAGAAGAGAAATTAATCCTTTCTTCTTCCACGTGGATAATACAAGTTCTACATAATGGACTTGTTGCAAGAAAGTATTGGGCAAATTCCATGACATTGGTGAGTGTTGATTCTATTTTGGGCATACAAAGAGGAAGTTCCTAAAATATGTGGCCACAGAAAATTCTGTCTATAACATTTAAAATGAAGTCACTCTTGCAGATTCAGCTAGGACAGCTGTAGGGCCCCTGGGTCAAAGCAGAGGTGTCAAACCCTAGCAGTGAGTTTACTTAACTTTAAAGTTGCAATCACATATCTGACAGAGATCCCCAGATCTGATTGCACTACCTGGGGATGCCTCCTGCAGCTCTGTCAGGTGCACACACCGTTTGGCATAGAGCCTTGCTTTTGTTACAGGTCCTACTGGCAATCCTCAGTACACACAACCATTTATTTGCAGTCACTCCTGGTCTAGAGCCAGGGTAGCTGCCATTTGGTCTGTTTTGACTAAATAACACATTGGGTTAGAGTATGTTTGCACTATCAACTACAGGATGGTATAGATATACCTTAGCTGGCTCTAAACAAGCTGGCTCAGATAGCAGCAGTCAAGTCACAAGGACACTGACCTCTGTATGAGTTAACTTAGCTCCATGCTCCTGCAGATAGATTCCTAATCAGTACTCAGGTATGGGCTACACTGCAAAGCTTTGCCAGCATAGTTACATCAAGGCAGAATAGAAGATTGTACTCTCCCTACCCAACACAGCTGTGCCCCACACCTCTCCCCTTCCCTGAATTTGAGCTCAGTTGTGCTGACAGAAGAGGGCATTTTCCAGTTTAACCTCCGTCATTAGAAGATTAAAGTGCTATAGCAAAGCCAGCAGAAAATACCTTTTGCTAAAATACCTCATGGTTTCAATAAGGAGCTCTATCACTATTGCTACAACAGCACAGCTATAGAGATCACCCTACTGCCAGCTGCCATAGGGATGCACAAAGCTGCCAAGGAGCTGTGTGGATGTGAACATGCTCTGGCAGCCTCCCTGTTGTGGATGCTGTCTGTTAGGAGAAGTTCTGGTGGCAGAAACAGCCTCATGAAGATAAAATGTCCCTGTCCTCTAGGTCTTGCTCTTCTGTCCTCTGCCAACATCTCTTACTTCTGGCCATGCCAGCAGCTAAATATGGAAGTGCTGCAAAGCCTAAGGAGACTGAGCATATATGCTAGCAGCCCAGACAAGGATTGTTTACATAGCTCATCTGTCTGCATTAAGTGATGTAAATTGGCCAGCTCCTAGGTCTATGCAAGAATTCTTCTTACTCCTGCAAAAGGTTATATACATATTTGTGAGCAGCCTGTCTTACACCTACATAAATACACATATTTTGAACTGATACTATCCTCATCTGCCAGTTTTGGAAACCGCTTGCCACCCACAGAGCAAGTTTTGTACAAGACACTACAGACTTTCTACGGAAACTTAAAAACATAGACCACCTTCCCAGCAACACACTCCTAGCCATCATGGATGTTACCAGCCTATATACCAACATCCCACACCAGGATGGCATCCAAGCCTGCCTTACATATCTACAGGAACAAGATTACAACCCAGAATACAGGCCCAAAGATATTACTGAGCTTATACACTTCATCCTCACACACAACAATTTCACGTTTAATAATCAACACTTCCTCCAGATGATGGGAACAGCTATGGGCACTAAAATGGCCCCACAGTATGCCAACCTTTTTATGAGCCACCTGGAAGAAGACTTCCTCAAGAACTGCACCATCAAACCCTTGCTATACTTAA